GCACATTCAATTAACCATTTTTTAACCCCCCCTATTAAGATAGGTTAATTAATGTTAACTAAATTGAAGCGTTAACGTTAACTGGCGTAGTCAGCTACAGTCACGTAACAAGTTCGACGACGTTCGCAGCTAACGTTGGCTAATTTAACATTGCTCTTGTTGCCTCTGGGACCAGCAGGTGAACGTCCGTACATTTAACATGACATTTTGTAAAATAATGTTGTACCTATATATGTCTCAAAATGTAACGCCAGACCTCCAGTGATTCCGCGTATTACATATGAAATACATTTAAACGCATATTACTTCCGCTTTTCAGTGGCTAGTAGCTGCGTTAGCTTAGCCACCCCTCCCCCACATCACGGTTAGCAGTTAGCCAGGTGAGGTATTTTTCATCCTTTACTTACTTTCCAATCATGTCACAGATGGGGTTACTTAAATCCGCCATGGTAGAAAAAGACTGCTGTTTTCCTTCTTTCTCGCGAGCAAAGCAATGACTGTTTAGGATCCGCTGGAGGTTGGATTTTACCATCCGGCCTCGGGTAGAGACACGACGGGCTGACTGCTCTCGGCTATGCTCTGCTGGGAAGTGATCGGTCGGAGAACTGGAGCTGGTAGAAAAGAAGGGAGTTAAGTTACCCATAATGACAGTTACACACTTCCTCTCCAATTCAAAAATAAAAGTCGGATAGATGAAAAAAATGCAACATCACATTGCTAACATGAAAATATTCATTGGGTTTTCACAAGTTACATCTTCAAACTCTATAGCTGGATTAATATCGCGTAGCTTTAAAGAATGCAGCTATCCTATTATAAAATAAAATTCCTGTTTATATGAGAAATAATAAGATATATGCTTGGTTTTGCATATATGTAATTTGTCGGTCAATGCCTTGTTAACACGCTACTTTTGAACGACTTAAGGCGTTTGTATTTTTGTGCTACCAACACGTAAATTATTTCATGTCGTCTTCAGCCGTAATTGGCGGCTTAACATGATAATTACGTCTAAAGATGATATGAATTAATTGACATTTTAAGAGGGCAATTCCGTTTAAAGACGATATGAAATAATTTACTTGTTAGGACGTTAATCCTTTTATGTCGTTTTTCGACATAATTGACGTCTTAACACGTCATTTATCTCATACTGCCTTTAGCCGTAATTATTTCGCAAGGACGATACAAAATAATTGCCGTAATTGAAGTGTTAAAACGTCACTTTAGGTGAGCAGAATTAACAACTAGTACTTTGTTCTACCTACTAAAATAACGTAATACAAAAGTAATCCCTGGTTTAGCACAGGGTATGTCTAAAAACCATGGTTTCACAAATCCCTTTTTCCCTTTTAGAAGAAAAGGAGACTTTTATTATGAAAGCGGAAGACATTGTTACAGCTACGCCCAGAATGAGCTAATATGTAGCCTCACACTTATGCTAACAAGCTAACGCTAACCAGGAAAGCTAAAGATGCTAAAGACTGTGATCGTAACTTCACCCAGGGAAATTGACTGGCCCTGACCTGTGACCACGGATAAAATTGCAATAAAACGTTGGTTAATATCTCGAGTACCGCCACTACAAAGGTTCAGTTTATCTTTATGTGACAGTTATTTTTAATATAGGGACAAATTGTCCTTGCCGTTTATCGCCTTGAGTAAAATCGATGCCAAGCCTAGAAAACAAATAGCTTACGTTATGTTAGCTGCCGTTAGGCTAGCGGCTGTGTGTTTACAGGGGGGCGTTTAATGGAAAAGTACCAAGGACAGAGAAAAAACTTTGAACAAAGACTAACGATTACTGAACTCCCATTGTCACCAGATTTAATCTCTTGGTGATACTTTTTCATTGTCAATAAAGTACTTTATTCAGTAGACACTTAGTTTATGTGTTTGAGTGTGCAGTGCTGAATAAGTACATAGTTTATGTATTTGAGTGTGCAGTGCTGAATAAGTACATTTACTCCAGTACTGTACTATTCATTTATTTATTTTATTTATTTTATTTTTTCTACTTTACTAGAGTATTTCCATGTTTTACGTTTTACATTTTTAATCTACCGCAATTCAAAGTATTACATCACATTTATTTGACAGCTATATTTACTTTGCATATTAATATTTACATACAAAACATATATAGTTTGTATAATATGATGATTTATTAGATGAAACTACTGACCAGTATTTACATCAATTCAACATAGCTTCATCTTGACCAACTACAGTTAAAGCACTGCTTACATGTTATTGCAGCAATAAAAAATAATGCAATGATAGACTTATATAACACTGACGGGTGTCATTCTGCACATTGAGTTCTTCTATTTTTGATACTGTTTCTGATACGTCTGTACTTTTACTCAAGTAACATTTGAAAGGTAGGACTTTCGCTTAAAATGTTGTATTTGCAGTGTAGTACTGCTGTTTTTACTTAAATTATATGAATACTTAATCTTCTTCTGGATGTATGTCTCCTAAATGACAATTGTCAGATTATAAACATCATTTTTAAATCTCTTTTTTTGTAAATTGTACTAAAATACCTGAAATACCTTAGTTAGATTTTAACATCTTTAAATAGTGCTTGTGTGTTTGGTTTTGAGCATAGACTGTATTCTATTCTCAAGTTGTCATCAATTTATTGATGAAGACAACAAAGCTCCCCTAGATTAAATGAGCTTCAAACATACTAATTCAAATTTGATGAAATAAAACATCTAGACTTTGAGGAGGATGGTGATAGGAGAAAAGTCAGTGTGTAGTGATTTACCATCCACATGATGGCGACAAAGCAGAACAACAGGCTACAACCCAACACATACAGCCAACATCATGATTTCATTACAGCCATCAATGATTAACTAATTTATTAATCAATTAGCATTAATGAACTTGATGCAGTTTTCAATAACAAGTAAATAACTGATTCACATCAAAGTGAATTCGGCAATGTACTTATATGTTTCCAAATGAAATAGATGTTTGTATATATAAATGATTCAGCTGGGGGTATAGTTGTTTGGTGGTATGGTTGGTATAATGACATTTGACATTTAAGTGGAAAAAACACATTTCTCTTTGTAAATCTTTTAACAATTTGTTTTCTCAAGTAGCCTATTCCAGGAATTAAACTGAATCAATATCATTGGCCATGCATGTTGACAGATTCTGACTCCAGTTCTCAGTAGCTTTCAGTAGACTTATAGACAGGGCAGAGAAAGCATTTACAGAAGTATACAGCTATAGACATAACATATAACATATGTATGTTAAGATAACAAGCACATTCAGATATAAAAATAACCAACCCATGATACACACTTCAGTGTGTTTGCCCAGGATGAATCCAAAAACCTGAAAGTTTACCCACAGAAAATCTTGCACTGTGTACATGAACTAAATACTTGAATGAATCTGGAAAACAATTTGCACCAAATTGTGACATAGGTTAGTAATAGAAACATCTCTCAGTAAACTGCATTCTCACACAACATCACCACTAACAGCAGCTTCAAAATACAATAAAATATTGAGTCAACCCCTCCGAAAATAGAAGGTTATAAGCAGTGCTGTAATGTTATTAATTAAATTTACTGGACTGGAAATTTAGTGGTACATGTATTTCCATTTTTTGCTACTTTATAGTTCTACTCCATTACATTTCAATGAGGAATGTTGCCTACATGTTAAAATACAAATTGTACATTTTGCATGGAAAACATAAAATCAGTCAACTAACTAATATAGATTGTTTAAGATGAAACTATTCAACTGTAGGTTAAATAGTTAAAATTAGCTCCAAATTGACCAGATAAAACATTAAAATGCTTATATGATAATCCATCAGGGATAATGGTCCTACAATGTAATATATAATAATATAACAATGAAAGGACACATTATAAAGGTTTTCTTGACTATTTTTGCCTTGCCCTACTTTTATGCTTTGATATTTTCAGTACATTTTGCTCATAATACTTTCATATCTTTACTTGAGTGTATATCTGATTGCAGGACTTGTACTTGTAATAGGGTATTTTTTCATTATGGTGGTGTATTACATAGCTTGTCTGTTGGACCGAATTACATTGCACAGAGAGTTCACTGAGTTCATGTTAAAGGGATAGTTCCACTTTTTGGGAAATACACACTCTTTTGTTTCAAAGTTTAGATCAGAAGATCATTATGTCTATACTGTAAACATGAAACTAGCAAGCAGTCAGTTAGCTTAGCTTAGCACAAAGACTGGAAACAGGGGGAACAGCAAGCCGGACTCCCTCCAAAGCTAACAAAATCCACTTACCACAACCTTTAAAGCTCGCTACTCAACAAGTTATATCTTATTTGTTAAAACTATACAAACTAACAAACAAACAAACAAAATGAGTAAAAACAAACAAAAAGAGTAAAAAAACAACGGCTGGGGTTTCACATGCATTACATGCCAGATTATTTCTTTGATAGTAGTGTTGGCAGGCAGATAGTTGCTGTTGGACAGAGCAAGGCTAACAGTTTCTCCTTGCTTCCAGTCTTTATGCTAAATTGTCGGCCTGGTGTATAGCCTCATATAGACATAGACACGAGAGCAACCACCTAATAAAGAAACTCTAGCCTATTCCTTCATGTGTCAACAAAATCTGCCAATAATTGTTTAATAATAATTTTGTAAAATTTGTTAATTTTGTGATATGCTCACGTGGGAGTGATTATACTGGAATGTTAAAGTCCTCTCTGGGCAAACAGATTCCAAAGACCGGTACTCGAGTTGAGGTTAGGGGGATTATTAGGTTCAGGTTAAAGAAAGAGGAAACACATATAAAAGGGGAAACCGATTTAATCAACACCGAATCTACTCCAGAGCGTTGGAGTGTAAAGCCAACCTCTCTCCTCCTCTGTTTGTTTTCTATTTGTTATTTTCAACCGCCTCGGCCGCCCGCCCTCTCATTCAAGTTTGTCCCTCAGTGCTATCCGTCGGTCGTCCATTGAAGGAGAAAAAAAGGAAAGCGACGCCTGAGAGCGACGCTCGCTTGCAGCTGATGTACCGTTGGCTCAAAAATGGAGAGCGACACCACTATCAGGAGAATAAAATCCTTCGGGACACAGAATTATGTAGCGCAAGATAACGACGGTTCCCGAGACCTGTGCGGGAATAACGGCTATAGTGGTGACCCGAAGAGGAAACCCGAAGTGAACCTGTACCTGCTGAGGGAAGGGTTGGCAGCTTCCCTGGTGTCTGTGTTTATTTTGGTGCTGTGGGGACTGGTTCATTTGTCGTTACAGCAGCTTGTCATTGGAAAGCCGACCGGCGACTTCAACGCAGTGAGAGCCAGGTGAGATTTGTCTCTGTTCTCCTGTTTTGGCTGTATGTAAGCTAACTGTCTCGTAGCAGCAGAGCTCCGGCTAACCTTTCCTCTAGTTTGACAACAGACCCGCCTAGAAACCACTACCGGGTGTCACCTCCACCTCCAAGGTAACCTGCGGAACGTACAGGTGTTTAAACAGTGTGAGATGATTAGAAGAGTTCGGCTCAGGAGAGAAGAGGCACAGCAGCCTCCAGGAGTGATCGATGAATGATGTACCCTCCAATGAGTAAAAAATCTCCTACTGTATGCCTGTTAAAATGAGCCCTACATTTATAAACAAGAATGTTATTCCATAAACTCGAATTCTAAACTTGCAAGACCTGCAACTTTCAAGGTCAAGGTTGCTGAAAACATGCAAACAATATAAATCTATATGAAAGCCACAATATTCATGAAATGATGTCCACTGTTAAAATTAAAAGAATTCTAAAATATATATTGATATTATTTATGTATTTTCTATTTATAAAGCATGAACATGAATGAACTGACAAATTAATTGTTAAGAAAAATCAGTTTGTGTGACTATAGAAAACATCATAGACAACATCCTGTTCATTAAAAGAAGCTGTAAAACTTTCAGATAAAACAACCACGTAGCGAGAAGGAGACGCAAGGATTATGGCACTGAATCTGAGGTCAGCAGGACTGTGGTTGAGCTCTTGAAAGTGCTGGGCGATGGGATTTGCCATCATTTGGCTAGTCGCTCCATAAATGAGTCAGGCATGCTGCATTTGAACTGATTAGGGCTCTGAGCTTCTTTGGTCACAATTATGGCTTTCATGACTCCATGCCTTGCAAATCCAGTTTTGAGTTATATGCATAAATGGTGCCTCAGAGGTTTCTGTAAAAATGGAGTGAAAGCAGAAATTCAGACAACATATTTAATGTCATTTGGTACTGCTTTTTCACTGCAAAAAACTACATGCACCATTGGACTTTGTGATTGTGGGATCTAGAGCAGAAGCTTTTTTTAATCCATGCTTGAAACACATGACTTCACTCACTACAGTTTAATGACATGAATTATGAATGAATGTATTATTATTCTCTCACCACTTCTAAAATTCACTTGCTGGTGGCTGTGAGCATCATTGATGACAGCAGGACTTCTTCTGGTGTGGGCAGTGGAGCCAGCACTGGGATTTCTTAAACAGCTGCAGCAAACATCACCAGCAGCTGCTTTTTTAAAAGAAAAGATGAAGAAAAGAATTTGTTTTTCTTTTTTCTGTGCTGTATGAGTTTCTTGCTTTATTTCCTGTTCTGCTTCTGTTAAAGGAGCCAGTGTAGAAAATAAGGTCAAAGTAATACAGAAACATGGCTCACTATCACCTGACTGAGTCAGGACAGTGGTCGTAACTCAGGACTCCTAACAGAGATCGGTTACAACCTGATTGTTTTTTAAAATTAATTTCTTTGACATGAATCAAAAATAAGTCAAAGCCTCCTTAGCATCCTTTCTGTTTATTAGGGGGACGTTAACCATTTTGCTGACCAGTATGTTACTCAACCTCAAGCTGTAAACTTGTTTTGCATGAAAAATGAAATAGTCTTTTTATTTATTTTCTGTCTGTTGCTTAATTGATTAATTGACTGATTGTTTCAGCTCTATTGGATGGGGTGAAAGCAAACATTCCTTCATATACAGTCTATGGGCGGCTGTCTTTTTGGAGCCACCACATCAAACTGCATGTTTTAGCATTGCTAACTTGTATAAAACCTCATTAAACTTACAGTATTTGAGTTCAAGGGCTCACACAAGTATTTTGTAAATCCACACAGCCAGCACCCCATTCATTGTCTGAAATGAGTGAATGCAACTTATCTCCACTTTCTTGCTTTAGGAACATTAAAGTTTATCTGAGCCGTTAAAAGGAAATGTATTTATTCTAGTTTAAGTTTTGAAATCTCATCATGATTTTAAAAGGAAAGTCATACATGCTATACACCCATACATATACATACATTCAGTGATTCATTGTCTTTAACAATAACACTGAACTACAGGAAATTAATGAGATATGCTGTGATGTTGTAATGGAACAAGTAGGCTTGGTTTATTGCCCCTGCACAGTTTCACATCAACACAATATTCTCTTCCTTTCTTTTCTCTCCGGCCTCACCTCACAATCTAGACGGCACTTGGAGCAGATCACCAGTGTTGGCCCGCGACCAGTGGGCAGTCAGGAGAATGAAGTTCTGACAGTGGGCTACTTGTTGGAGCAGATTGAGAACATCCGAGTCGAGACTGCAGCAGGCCCCCATCAGCTCACGGTGGACGTGCAGCGTCCCACCGGCTCTTTCTCCATTGACTTTCTTGGAGGCTTCACCAGCTTCTATGATCATGTCACCAACATTGCTGTCAGGCTGGAGACCAAAGGTGGCGCAAACCATCTCATGCTCGCCAACTGCCACTTTGACACAGTGGCCAACAGCCCAGGTATAATAACATTCATCCTTCTCCATAAAAAACTGTCACTTGCTTATGTGAGTGCTTTACTGAAGGCATAGAAAGTGGGTGTGCCTTCTTATAAGGTTTAAAGATCAACAGTTGTAGCATGCAGTTTACATGTAGGTACATGCAGAAAATCTTCACTCACCTGCATTTCTAACTTAAATTACCAGAAGGGAGAGGACTTTCAAATGTCAGTCGTTGAATAAGTGAAACAGAATATTTATTTTTACAGTAGTTCCTGTATATTTGATCAAATCTATCTTCTTCAAACCAATTCAACTTCTCAAGTCTGCTGTTACAACTGTTACAATTGCCTTCTTGTACATCGTAACTGGTGAATCTGTGGTTTTAATTGTTGTGGTGAATGTTGCTGAAAAACTGATTAGTGATTTATAGTCCCGTCACTTCAGGATACTGTTAGCTTGGAAGTGGAGCAGTGGGGGTGGTTAAAACTGATTTTGAAAAACATTTTACAGCCATTTTCTTTGTTTTTTGTATTTCCCATTAACATTTCTAACCATTACACCCTCACAAATCTTGCAGCTCTTCTCCTAACAGTGTGTAGAAGCCATGCAGTTGGTTTCCAGCATGCAAGTCCTCAGGTGTTTTGTGACGATCATAATACCCTCATTTGTTTCCCCTGTTATGAACTGTAGTCATGTGGGCCACGCAGAGTGGAATTTAAACTGCCATAGAAAGCCAGTCCAGAACATTTGGATCCAAAGTGCTTCTTGTAAATTATTACAAACAGCCACATTGTGCTTTTTACAGGAAGTTGCTTAGAGCAATCAGGGGATGGTATCTAAGCTGCACTGTAATAATAGTGTTTTTGATAATAGGTAGTATTTGGTGGTATGTAGTCATGATTTTTTTGTCTTGTTTTAATCCAGAAATTTTTTTGCTTTTTCGCTTTCACTCTAGACTGTGGAGCCTGTTGGAGAGACATGTTTCCCAGTTCTCACACACACATAAACACACGTGTACACACACACACACACAGCTGCACCGGCAAAAGGAAATTGATCCAAGAGGTGTGGACCAGGAAGATACACATACATTTTCATGTCCTCCGCTGCCTGCAGGCCTTTGATTTCTTGGAATTCTAAACATTTGGCCCTGTAAAAAAAAATAATAATGGAAAAATGAAAGAATAAAGAGGCAGCACACGGTCTTGCACATATTTTTGTTGAAATAAGTTGAATACATGCCGTCTTGTGAACTCTCACAGAGCTTTTTAGGGACAAGGATTAGTATGTCGCTGACATAAGTGGCAGTGACAGGGGCATGAATGGTGCCCAGACAGACAGTCAACAGGCTCCTACCCCCACCTCATGAAAAAACATGCAATCCAGAAAGCCGGAGCGCATGATGTCTCAGTTAGGCTCCCTAATCTTTAGGTCATTTTTTACTTTCTTTGCATTTATTCTCAGTAAATTGTGTCCCTCACCACTAACCTGTCTAATCTTTCCACATCACATGTCCTATTCACATGCTCTTTTCTCTTTCGTCCGGCTATTACCCCTCTTCCTTTGTGCTCTCACCATCGCACAAGCAGTGGGAGATTGGTCTTGTTGCATTCTTCGCATGTTTGCACATGGAGCCTACCCCCTTCATGTGTTTTAGAATTTGTTTTATTCTGGTACACTCCAGAGTTATCAGCACTATCATCTGTGTTTTTATCTCACATTGCGGCACTTAGTTAGCCAAGCCACCCTTTTTTTTTTGCCTAATACAAATGTGAAACGCAACTATAAGCTCATATTGCCCATCTTTTGCAGGTTTTTAGAATTTTAAAACGCACTGGTTTGCTTGTTTTAGGCGCCAGTGACGATGCAGTGAGCTGTGCAGTGATGCTGGAAGTCCTCCATTCTCTGGCCAACCAGTCCACTCCTCTTCACCATGGAGTTATCTTCCTCTTTAATGGGGCAGAGGAAAATATCCTGCAGGTAAAATGAAGTGACAGGGAGACATATTTTACACGTTGGGTGCTAGACTAGCTTGTCCACACCGCATTGGCTTGTCAGTTAATTTAAAGCTTCTCTTCACTTTCTGTCACTTGATATTTTATCTCGTATGTTCTTACTTTCTCTCTTTGTATCTCTGTTTTCTTTATCTCTCCATCAGGCCAGTCATGGTTTCATTACTCAGCATCCGTGGGCCAAGCAGGTGCGGGCCTTTATTAACCTGGAGGCTGCAGGTGTTGGGGGCAAGGAGGTTGTTTTCCAGACAGGTAAAGCAGTTGGTTAGCATGCTTTACCTCTGGTTTGCTATGTGTTTTTGTTTTGCATATGTGTGTGTTTTTCTGAAATTAGGAAAGCTTGCAAAAAAATAAATCAATGCAGTTTTTGCTGTTACAGACGAAGTTGAGACACTGTCAAGTGTTGTATGTATACTGTACCTACATTATGTGGCCTTACTCCAACCTTTTACTATCTGGCCGGCTGACAGGATCTCTATGGATTACTAACAGCCTGATTATGCTTCCTGAGGTGCATGTAACATTGCATTTATATTTTAGACGTTATCTGATGCGCTTACTCGGCACAGCTGATGCATGCAATAGATTAAACAAGCTTAAATACCTACATCAACAAACCACAAACAGCAGCCGGTAAACACAGCAGAAGAGAGGATATAAAACAATATGTCTTGGCCTCTACAATTATTACTCTGTGATCAAACTTTCATCCTTAAAGGTCCAGAGAACCCGTGGCTGGTCCAGGCCTACGTCCATGCAGCTAAACACCCTTTTGCCTCTGTGGTCGGCCAGGAGGTCTTTCAGAGTGGTATCATCCCCTCTGACACCGACTTCCGCATCTACAGGGACTTTGGTAACATCCCAGGTAAGGCCCCATAATAGTACAGAATAGAAATATAGAAATGAACACTGTCAATGAACAATGACCAAAACCAGAATCCAGTGGCTGATAGATCTACAAAGCAAAGACACCCAACTCCCAACTTTTCTGTTTTCTGTTTTTTTTTTTAAATGTCTTAATGTTTATATACCATATTTATTTCATTTACAGGCATTGATCTGGCTTTCATTGAAAACGGTTTCATCTACCATACCAAGTATGACACTGCTGACAGGATCCTGACAGACTCGATACAGAGAGCCGGTATGCAAATAACCACATCTGCATCTATACTTACATAGGTCTAATGTTATGCTTTTATTTAACACTCATTACAGATCTGTTGTTAGCTGGTTGGTGTGTCTGTTTGACTGTCAAGGAGAGTGGTGGTGTGGTTGAAACAGCAACATTTTTTTTGTTGACAAAGCCACAAAAACCATACTGTACATTTGTGCTTTGTCCCCCAGTTTCAGACCAGTAAGCACTCTGCTAATCTCATTACTTCCTGGAGAACTAAGACATGCATACATGCATTACATACCAACCACAGACTTTTACTGTTGCACCTGCCCTCATTTACCTTGAGTCTCCGTGTTGCTGAATTATTTTGCTTTACTTAACCGAGAATCCAGTCAGTCAGCACTAAAAACCCCGTTGGCATCGTTCCTCTCTTCTTCAGCAGCTACTGGACACCTCTTTTGTCTTCTTCTGTGAACAGCAAGTCGCCATGAAAGGCATGAATTATTAGAGAGAGAAAGGGAGGTTTCAGAGGAAGGTAGAAGGTATTTTTAGTCTTTGAAGAAGGAGGCATGTTTGTAAGGTGGAGAGTAGGTACAGCACAGGGACGGTGGAGGAGGAAGATACACCAGTAGCTCTGATTTGTTGATGCCTGTGATGGACACAGCAGGTTTCTGGCCAGACCTAGCTCTTTAAAATCTTCTGCTTCACAGCTCGGCCTTCAGACAAAGTGGGGGCAAGGTGCAAGGCTAGCATTGCTCTTATTTAGATTCACTCTTGTTAAAAATGTATATTTCCTGGATTTTTTTTTTGTAAAGAAGATACCATAAAGATATATGAAAATGAGCATGGCAATATAACCACGTTATAAATGGTGTTGTGACTAAAATGATTACGTATTAGTTTTCCTAATTAATCTCATCATAATTTTAGCTTTGTCATAGTGAAATTCAGATAGTAAAATTGTGGGTAAGTCACAAGCATTGAACGCTACATGAACTAGTAGATGTTGTACACTCAGTTGTTTACACTTTTAGGCCACAGTGAGAGTACCAGGCGGAAGAACAATGGAGCTTTGTTTTACACTTGTGTGTGTGTGTGTGTGTGTGTGTGTGTGTGTGTGTGTGTGTGTGTGTGTGTGTGTGTGTGTGTGTGTGAGAGCTGTTAACTGTGCAGACATGGAGGCAGCAGCAAAGATAAAAGAAACGTAGCCTCAGGCTGCAGGAACCAACACAGCAACACCTCTTACCAATCCTTGATGTAGCCAGATTTCTCATCTACATTCAACATCATGACTGTAGCCAATTTCACAGCAAGTCCTCTACGTGTCCCATACACTGGTGTTCAACTGTTATGTAACCACGAGGGGCCATTCAGGCTATAAACCAGACTTGTTCTCACACACATCCACCACCATACTCTTTCACACACGCTACCGTTTGGACCATGAATCATATCACTCACTCACACCACTGTGTTCTCTTTTTTCTGCTCTCATTCTCACTCATACTCATCATCATACTCTTACATACACCATTATACACTCAAACAATACGCACAACACACAATCACACAATAATGGATTTAAGATAGAATGAGAATGATTATGTGTGAGCTTGTGCATCTTCTCTTACATATACTGTCATGGGAAAAGCTATGATGTAAGTACAAGAGAATACTTGTTTTAAAAAGGATTGTTGTGAATGTATGTGAGTATGATGGTGAATATATGAGTGTTATTGTACATGTAAGAGGGTGTAGAAGTGTGTGTGTTTGAGTGGGAGAGCATAGTGTTGTATGTGCAAGATCCTGATGCTGTTTGTTAGAGCAGGTATGATTTATGGCCTGAATTATCTTCCATACACTTTCATAACTGTAACAATGTCAAACAGTAATCATCAATAAAATTAAATGTTTTAATTAAAAAATTAAAGTACAGATTGTGAGGCTCAACACACATTATGTGCATGGTTGTGTGCACGTAGTTTTATCACTACTGTCTGCGTGGCCATGCAGGAATTACAAAGGCCACTACCTCAGTGTAGCCTGTTCTGCTTGGCTGGTCAGAAAGTTATACTAAGTCATCAATAAACTCTGTCTACTGCACATAATGTGTCAAATCTATGAAGGATGATCCTTTTTTTGGTCCCCATTTCCTTCCACTGATTGTAGGGGTCAAATTACATATTTGTAAAGTAGTTTGTACATTTCTATGAATTCTTACTGTCTCTCAGTGGGTTCTGGTTACAAGTCAAGATCATGGTCTTCTTGTACGCTCCAGCTATCCACCTGATGTATTCTTATTCTATAAAGCTGAAATCAATGCAGCTAAATGCAACAGTGTTACTATGTTACATTTATGCCTTGAACTGCTTCACCTCTGAACTCATTTCCTCTGTTTAGGCGACAACATCCTGGCGGTGCTGAAGTACCTGGTAATGTCAGAGAAGTTGGCTGATTCCTCAGAGTATCGTCATGGCAACATGGTATTTTTTGACCTGTTAGGGGTGGTTGTGGTGGCGTACCCCGCCCGTGTTGGCACCATCCTCAACTATATGGTTGCCACAGCCACCTTCCTCTATCTGGCTAAGAAAGCCTCACTGCCTGGCAACGGGGGTAGGTTGCATTTCTTGTCATGGATGTAATGTTATGTCATTTCCTGAACTGGAAAAATAGTCCTGTGCCAAATCCAAATAGTGAAACTCATTTTATTTTTCTGTAGAAGAATTTGATGAGGTGTTTTTGTGTGTTAGGTCGTCATTCAACATTCATCTCTGTGTCTCTCAGGTGGTCGCTATATTCGAGATCTGGCGTGTGCCACGGGTGTAGCAGTGCTGAGCTGGTTCGTCACCCTGCTGTCGGTGCTGATTGTAGCTCTGCTCGTGACTTTGCTGGGCCGCTCCATGTTTTGGTACAACCATTTCTACGCCTCCATCTGCCTGTACGGGGCTGCAGCCACTGGCAAGATGATCCTTATCCACACCCTCGCCAAGAACCTCTACTACGGGGTGAGTGATGGAGTTTTTCTTTTGAGTTTGGACAGTAACTTTTAAAGGGCAGACCTTTTGTGTATGTGCAGAATTTCAACTACCCTGTTCCCTGTGTGAAATTATTTTACTATAGAGATTAGAAAAACAGGATATGAGGTCTATTCCAAATATCAGATGTTGCTAATTGCGTGGTGTTTTTACAAATTGATATTTATAACAATTTATTTTTTTGCTTGTTTTGTGCACGCTTATGAATATATGTTGCTTACAATGGCTTGTTTTTAGTATGAACTGTGAGCTGTTACACGAAAAAATTCACATACACTTCTATCACATTGAGAAAACTATTTTTGTAACCTGAAGTCTAGGAGAGTTAGAGAAATATTTGCTGTGTTGAAGCTGAAAGAATGTTGACCAGCTTGACTTAGATTTATATCTTGAACTGAACTTCTTGTTCCATGAAACAGGTTTTTACATTTCTTTGTGGAGTTCATCTAGTTCAGTATGATGCTTGCTTTGTTTTTGTATATTGTTTGAAATAAAAAGGAGGTCAATGTATTTCTCTGAGCCTAATATCTCATGATGTCTCACTCAGCTCACATTTAATGGTGACTAAAGTGCAGAGAGGAGAAAGCCAGGCAGTTTCTCTTCCTCATTGGTGATTACAGAACAGCAGCTCTTTGTGTATGTTTGCGTGTGTGCGCATGAAAGAATATAAAACTGTAGAGGTGTCAGACATGATGTCATCTATCAGTCACACGTACACGCTCTTTTGTCTGAGTGTGTTTTTTAATTGTCAGTGCATCTCTGCCTGTTAATAGTAAAGTGTAATTCTTGCATTCTTGAGAGGCAGGGTTACAGACAGTCCTCTGTACATGTTAGGAACAGCTATTTGCAGACATATTGTGTGTCTGACATTTAGTAAACACAAGTGTTTATTTGAGGTTGAAAACATTACAGAAAGTAGTTTTTCATTCTAGAGCTGCAGATAACCACATTATGAACTCCAGCTTATCCTGGCCATTTTCCAGAAAGGACACAGACCAACCTTTGTCCCATATGACACAAGGCTTCATTTTTCTTGTACTGAAAGAAGATAGAAATGACTGATGTCCACAGGATTTCTACAGATTTCTACAAACTGCGTGGTCACTGATAATTTGGTATTCTGGTTCACTTGTTCTCAAACATTTTTGCTTGATTTACCCCACAGCCAAATGTGTTCATTTGAAGCCATTTTAAACTGGATTATGATTCAGCTAATAGTGATATAAAAATGGATGCAATATTGGATTTTACAACAATTGAATTGGCAATGTTTAGGTTGGTTAAGTGTGCGTTCATACTACTTCTACTTGGAGTGGAAGCAACTGTATTTTCCAACCATAACTATTTCTACCATTGATCCAGTATTTTTAGTTATTTCAACCATTTATCAATTACTTTTAGCTAACTCAATTGTTCCATTTCTTTTTAGCATTGTTCATGGCAGTATTGTTCAGGTGTTATAACTGACTCGAAATGTGAATATGTTCTTTTCTTTATCAAATCTTAGATTCTGTTTTATCACATTAGTTGGACTACTCCACAATATTTCCACATACTCCCTGACAGTTGTTTGGGAGTCACTGTTCTGGTTTAACCAGAGTGACTCTCTGGCAGGTAATACTGCACCTCTTTCCTTACAGAAGTACATTTGCGTGGCAGTTATGCGAGACCATCAACTGCTGTAAAGATTAGTTGTGTGTGTGTGTGGGTGTGTATGTATGTGTATGTGTAGGGGGTTTCTATATAACAGCTGTTTTTTTTTGTTTTGGTTTTTTTTGGTTTTTTTTTTTGAGAAATCATTCAAGCAAAAAGTAACGTGAGAAACGAGCTTGACAAGTCTTTCTCAGTGAAGCGGAGAGATCTGCAATGTGTACTGGTGGGATGTTGAGCTTTATGATAAAATATTGCAGCAAGCCTCTTAATCAGCCTAAAGCAATGCATGCACAGGAAAGGTCAATGAATTCTTTGTGCAGTAGTAGAGATTTTTACCTAAATCCTTTTGATTGGCTTTGTGTTCCTTTTTAGTTAATAGTTTTAGTTTCAGGATAAAACAGAGGCCATGGTGAAAAGTTCCCATTGTAGCAACTGGGAAGTACCAAGTCATATCAGTACTTCTTTGTTTCTTTTTAGTGTTCCTCCACATCAGTTCTGAATAAATCACTACATTACATTACATCTAATTTGCTGTGAGAATACGATAAAAGTCTAATATTATTTGTGATGAATGTACATGGGGTACAGGCTACCAATAAATAGCTTTTAGCTATAGCAAGTTCATGAAGCTTCTTTGTGCCATTCCTTAATTACAGTAATGCATCTCAGGGGCCACTTATCTGATGAGTGAGGAGTAAGAGTTGCCACCACATAAAACTTTAATCATTCCTATCCGTCAACAGATTTGAATCCCAAATAGTTTGAATTTGTCTATACTGATAATTGTGATGCCTTGAATAAAGGAAGGGAAAACCAATAACAGCTCTGTTAGTCTATGATATTTGGTTGTTAAAAGTAGCAGATGGTCTTACTTTCTTAAGTTTGTCAGGACATTATTTTGTGTACATTTAGACATCTACATTTTAAAGATAACTGTCATTATAGAATTTAAGAAAAAAAATGTCTGATCTGTCCTCAAAATTGAATATAGACACATGTACATCTGCTGATTCCTCGCTCATTAAAGCAACATAAATCTGAAATAAGAAGTGTAAAACCAGAATCTGCACATGCATATCATATGATGTGTTGGGGTGTGTTTTCCGCGCAGGGAGTCCGCCTGGTGGAACTGGGTGATCTCTACTTTGATGTGAGCCTGCTTCTGTGGTGCTGCAGCCTGGTGTGGCTGACCCAGCAGGGCCTGTGTTCAGCCTATGTGCCCATGCTGATGGTGGCCTTCCCCCTGGCCACTAGACTGCTGCTAGCTAAGGAGTTTAAACACAGAGGTAAACACTCAACTTTAGTTACAAAGAATGTTTTTCCTAATCAGCATGTTTGTAATTTAAAGGAATCGTTTGACATTTTTGGAAACAAGCTTATTTGCGTTCTTATTTCCCAAAAATGTCGAAACACGGTTGAATGTAAGGATTCAGTTTTAACACTGACTGTCTGAATGACATCAGAAAACTGATAAATTAATGATTGATTAGAGAGGGACTCTCAAAGCTGTGGAACAGCCAGGAGATTACAGGTGGATGGTCTGACCATGGTGTGCTCTGACAAACGCTAACCTCTCTATCTATCGGCAGGAGCATCGGTGAAGTACAGTGTGCTCTACCTGTTGGGCCTGGCGTTGCCATACGTCCACTTCATGTTCCTCATCTGGGTGGTGTTTGAGATTTTCACTCCCATCATGGGTCGCAGTGGCACAGAGATACCCCCTGAGGTGGTGCTGGCCTCCCTGGTCACCCTCACAACCATCTTCCTCTCCTCTTTTTTTGTGAGTATTCTCACATCATGTATAACAATGAACAACACATCTGTATTTCTTTTTTGTTCAGCAGAATCACCTTGAAATCACATAGTTTCAAATTTCTGGCAGCAACATTTTTGTTTTAGCAGCAGAGGATTTATTGATATTAATTATTTGACTTAAGATAAACAAAACTAATAGCTGTGTATAGCTCACTGACAACAGGATGCCAATAAAATATAATTTAATGTAAAATTAGCACATATACTATTCACATTTGTTGTAAAAGACTGCAGTGTATATTCTTCCCCCAGTAACACAGAGTATTTTCTTGACTGTATCAGCTGCATTTCATCTACTTAGTGCGGAGCACTAAGTGGATCCTGGCTGGTCTGGGCTCAGTCTTCATCATCATGTTCCTGTTGGTGTCCTGCGGCTTTCTATTTCCTTATTCAGGCAGTCCAGACAGCCCTCGGCCTAAACGAGTCTTCCTGCAGGTTCGGAGTCACTGCACACACACAGAAGCACAAACATGTACATGTAAACTGATGAATTTATTCTAATGCGCTACAAAAATGAGAGAAATCTCTCATACGTTCACATTTTTCTCTTTAACTAATTGGGAATAAAGATTTTTCTTTTCCGCTTCTGATTTTTAAAGACATTTTGGTAGTTGTGCAAAAAAAATATATTGAATTTGCGAAAAATGCCCTCACTCAAATGGAGTAAACATTTGTGACTGAGATGGAAAAATAAAATAATAATAAAACTCTTCTACTGCAGGATTACCTTGCATTTTCTTTGGTCACTTTCTTTGTTTGGTCTTGATTGACCATCATGCAGTGCAGCTTGTATGGTTAAAATCTCTTGTTGGGAGCATGAGAAATACAGATCGCCCTATAGCATCTTTTTTGTATCTGGGACATTTCACAACATGACACATTGCCACATGTTTTCGTAATTGGGGAAAGAGTTCTCTGATTGCACCTGCTTGTATAAATCACACAGGGCCTCATTAAGTTATTCTATTTAAAGATCACTCAGTAAAACAGCTGGAGATGGTTGAAGGCAGGTTGAAGGAAAATGTTTTGTCCACCCCTCTCCCTGCAGCACACGACAAGGACCTTCCACAATCTCCAGGGCCAGGTGGAGAGCCGGGACTCGGGTCTTTGGATAAACAGCTTTGACTTCACAGCCATACAGCACATCACACCCGACATCCCTGAGATCAACGACAGTGTTCGCACTCACTGCCGGGAGGACCGACCCTTCTGTGGTTACCCCTGGTTCCTGCCAGTGAAGTTCCTCAGCAAGTCAGTAACACAGCTTTGTTGCTGACAGCAGTGTTTCTGTGCTCTTTGTTTATTATTCATATAATGTAACTGTCTTCATGTGCAAACTTTTCATGCTTTGTATTTCTTCCTCACCTCAAGTATTCTGGTGTATTTGCAGGAAGAACTGGTACCTTCCTGCCCCAGAAGTGTCTCCCAGCTCTCCAGTGGAGTTCAGCCTTCTGTCCAAAGAGGAGACCAGCTGGGGGACGATCAAGATGACCTTCAGTGCAAAAGGTCAGGAACATGTTATGTAGATGTCAAAGTGTTTTTTTCCAGAAGTTGCTGGCTTTAGATGCTAGAAAGTCTAAGTAGACGTCCAACCTAGCTTTGACTGACGCTTCACATTGACCTGAGCCAAGCAGTCTCAAGCAGATGAGTCCAGTGACACATTGAATGAGGTTGAAGAGTTTACAAGTAACAACTACTACTACTAACAATTATTCCCACCTCTGCTTGCAGGTATAACACCCAGAAGCCATTTATTACTATAATGCATTGAATCTTTATGGGGGTTATATTCCCAGTGCTGCATGTCCATAACAATTACAGTACAGCCACTTTTCATCAATATAAACTCAATACTGTTATTCATTGATTTTCGCATTTCTCTTTTTAAGTATCATCTGGCCGATCTGAATACGCATGTGTGTATATTATGTACATATTAACTTGTGCACATGTGATTGTACTTATGTCCTGTCCTGTTCCATCTCATGCAGGCCCCAGCCACATGTCTCTGTATCTGATGCCTCACCGAGGAGCCAGCCTCTCCACCTGGTCCTTCGGCGACGGGACGCCTCAGTTTGACCTGAGCGGAGAATATTTTGTCTTCTATTCCCACGGCCTTGATGCCCCCACATGGACCTTCTGGTTTGAAATACAGGTACTTATCTGCAATTAATAATAGCTTACAAAATCTATTTTGTGCTATGTTATTCATGTGAATTACTTAAATTGCTTTCTGTTTAAGGGGAGTGGAGGTAATTCTGTGAAAGAATCAGTGTTCCTCAATGTGATCAGTTCTGGGTTTAATTCTTGTAATTCTAGGTTCAGTATCATTCTTTTCATTCCTTACATTTCTGAATTTCTGCCAAACATCACCTGAGAGTTTCTGCAGGAGATTAGCTCCTGCCAGGACACAGTTAGACTGTGTTCTGTGTTTGAATGCATAGTCTTGCTGTCATGTGAAAATTTAATCTCCAGTTTTTGAGATTTGAATTTTTTGAATTGAATTAAAGACTGCAGGAAATGAACTCCACGACCCTTTAAAGACTGTCCTTAAAATCCATTGCATAAGCTAAAAAACATGCAGCGTAGTCAAGCTAAAGACAAGGGCCTGGGAAAACTGCTGGTCAGGTTTTGTCCTCTTACACATTTGCCTTTGCTGACATTTCATGGTTGTCTTTCTTTTTCTCTGTCAGCCTCCCAGGGACCCGGACCCATCAGGCCCCGAAGGGATGATCTCCGTCGCCATCTCCTCCCACTATTTCTTTGGGGAAGACCAGAGGACTGCTCAGCTAGAGGAAATCCTCCACAGGTTTCCCACATGGGTTTTTCCTTCATCTTGGGTCAGTACCTACGACATGTACCGCTACTGAGGAGAGCACGCATCCTGAACGCTGATGCTGAGGAGGGCTGAGGGCTGCAGGGGCCCCAAGACAGCCAGAGAAAAGCGATATCAAGGAAACAATACTGAGGACCAGCCCTGCCGCCTTTTCACTCTGACACAAACACACACTCTAACACACACTCACGCTCTCTCCCGGTCTGCCTGAGAGACCCCCATCACTGTGTCAGTAGGCTTAGTAGCTAACCGAGCAGGATGACGCGCAGAGGCATGCCAGAGGTAAGCTGACCAAAGCTTACGGACTGAATAACTCACCGACCGACGCACTGGCCACCACAAGCCTTGCGCTCACTCCTGGGGTAGTGAAACGAAGGGGTTAAGATTTTCTTTTTGTACTCAATCTGTCGTGCCTTTGCTTTCTGTCCTCCCGCTTTTCTTCCTCTGTCATGCTAACACTCTTCCTGAATGAATAATGTTGCATGGCTCCCTCTGCTCCTCTGTCTTTATCAGCAATTCACTCGGGCCATCCTCAGACTAGATGTGTCTCTAACTTCCTCTGCTAAAATAACACCACTACCACCATCTACACTGTAGGTGTAGTAACATACTGATGGATCTGTTTGGGAAAGGAAACAAAGACCTGTTTTTGTTTGACTCCTCCTCTGACTTTAACTGGAAACTTTGACACTTTGAAAGTCACTTTTCATCAACACGCACTTGTTATATTACGTGCAAATAGTTTTCGTATTAGCTAAGCAAACTGTGAAACTCCTCACTAAAGACCACTGATTTGCAGCAAGTCGTACCTATGTGTTTCAATGGGGCATGCCAACGATCTGCTTTAATTGTCAGAGAACCTGGCATGCAGATGCAGAACACTGTGCCTGTTAAATGAAAACAGCTGGCTGAAATCAAAATGTCAAGGTTTGTCAAGGTTTGAGCTTGATGAGGCCAGAACTCTCAAGGAAACACAGACTCGTGGCTGTGTACACGTCCTGTGATTTCTAATTATTCCTTGAACCTTGAGGGTGGCTGGGTGGGAAACCAGCAATGCAACTCCATACTTATTACTAACTGCATCAGTGTCAGTTTGTTCTGTCTCACAAGAGTTGATTATTTACATTTATACTGTAATAGTATTTATACTTGTTCTGAGCTCTGTGCTACGAGTTGTCTCCAGCAGCACTAATGAATATCTTATTTTGTAATGAAGGAAAGTAGAACTGCAACGGTTAATTGATTGATCAATCAGTCAATAGAAAGAAAATTAATCTGCTGCTATTCTGATAATTGATTAATATCTTTTTACATTTCTATCATTTTTCAAGCAAAAATGCCAGAAACATGGCTCCAAGCTGGTTTCTGCTTTTCATAATTAACTTTTAGAGTGAAGCTGACCCTACTAGGATCCACATAATCATTTATCCCATTCATCTAATTTCATTCTTCTCCCACTTGTGCTGAAATGCACTTAAGAATGTCAAATAATGCATTGGTACCTCTGGAGACAGCTTATAGTTTTATCTGTCGTCTACTCATTTTCGTGGCGCGTGTTCCAAATTTTTCCTCTTATCCTATTATTGGAGCTGCATCTGTACTGTTTATAACCCAAGTATCATAACTACAATCCAGTTAGTATGAACTGTTTTACATGTGTCCACTTCACATGGTGGACCCCATAGTGAACGTTATAGTCATTGCCACCACTACCTCCATATTGATCAAAACTTGTCCGCGTCCGACACCAATATAAGAGTTATTAATGGTCTTGTAAAGACTAGTTTGAATGTTATTGTGGGAAAGATTGAGATAATATTTAGCTAACTGACATTGACTAATGTTAAAGAGATAGAGAGATTATTGTGTGTCTGTGGGCCAGATCCGTTTTGTGTTTTGATAGATGAATTGCGTAGAGGTGCTATCAGAGAATCAGAGTCTTCTCGCCGCCTCCAGTCCGACACACTGATGACATCTGTTAAAACACAAAAAAACAAAAGCCTCACATAGCTGCTTGTTGGTTGTCCAGACTTCCCGGCTCCCTCCATGTGTAATCAAATGTGGAATCAAGTTGTAAAAACATGGGAGATTATTTGCACTTAGGAGATCAACTGATAAAAAGTTATCGCCTTTTCTCCACTTTGTGTTACACCCGGTGACGCGTCCTTGTCGTCCATGTTGTCCGTTTTGGCTTCAGTCACACAAGATAAGAAATACTGACATGAAGGAGGCCTTAACGTTTTGCTTCCAAAGACACACAAAATGTTTACTGTTGTGGACACAAATGTCTCACTGGTCTTAAAAGCTATCAAGTGCCACACTGTACAGCATTTCTTCAAATCCATCACAGCCTTCAATAGCACTTGGCAATTTGGAAACAGATTGTCCTACTATGCTCTTTCCTTTATGCATTTTGTGTAACGGCTAATGAGCAAAACAGAAAATGATGAGATTGAAAGTTTGGAAACAGGAATTGACAGAAACAATCTCATCACAAGGTTCACTCAGTAGCTTCTCAATCATATGACATGATATGCCCCAGCAGATGGAATTGCAACATAACGTGATATTATGGAGAGACTATTTTTGTCAAAAACCAGATGATCTTATCAGCTGACTGCAGTGTAATAACCTGCCCTTAAAAAAAGAAAAACATCAAATCTATCAGATACCTGCTGTTATGAATTTGAAATTGTTGGAGATTTGATAGTTTATTGTAATTGTCATTAAGTTTTTTTTTTTGCTCATTCAAAAGGACCATAACTGTTTATTTTGTACCCTTTACCACAAGTCTTATTTCAGAGTAAAAGCATGTTTGATTACTGAAGTCAACTGGAGAATAATTGCCCGTAATCTAAATGTGCTAAAACATGGGGGGAAAAAAAACACCAGTATGGTCCTTTTTAATGTTTTTAATAATTTAAGCCTCTGTACCAGATGTGCTATTCCACAGCTGTTAGTAATGGAGTCAGCATTTACTGCAGCAGAAACAGAAACGCAAAGTGTTTCTTCCTCATACTGCACAGCTGGCCTGGTGTGTCCTGCACTGTGATCAAGATCATCTAGCTCGCTCTCTGACATTTTGAAAGTGCATTTTTCTTTTTGAGTTTCTGTAGTCCGTCAGTAGGTGATGGTTCATCAGTTAACGGAGCAGGAACTGATGTGTTTTCAGACATGTCAGACGTCCTAAAGATGGTCTTTTATCTTATGTCTTTTGATTTAACATCTGATGAAGAGGCACCTAAAAATAACAGTCTGACATTAGAATGAAGTCTTTTCTGCTGAAGTAAACCATATATTTGAAAAGGACCTCCAGCTAACACACATCCACACTGCTCTGTGTTTGTGTGTGTGTGCGTGCGTGCACATGTCTGGCTGTACAGTGCAGTGGAACAGAAACTGATGACGGAAGTGACAGAAGATGCATCTATTCTGTTATATAGAACATATTTCAGTCGAAATACAGGAGGGTCTATGGGAGAAAAAAAGCTTTATTAACAAATGTACATTAATATTTTTCTAAAAATCTGTTAAGTGGTGTACTGTAGTTTTGTTTGAGGCTGAAAAGACTTCAAAAGCAACCAGAGTTACTGACCATTTCAAGTCGTGGCAGAAATGCGACCATTTTACTTGGATTTTTGTTTATACTTACAACATTAAATGGGATGATAGTTGATGAAGAAGTAGTAACACAGAACTACAGGACGGAGCAGGGAGGCGTTTGACGTAAGTGCTGTGAAATGGCTCATCCTACGCCGTTGGTGCTCCCCCTGTTAAGACTACAGCATACACTGACTGAGCACATGCTAGACAGCTTAACATTTGAAATAAAAACAACTACTTTTAGGATAAAGCGAAAAAGTCACATTGTTACTGTGCGACAGGATCTAATGCATTAATGTTACTCGGTTTAGACTGAGAGGCTGACCAAGCACCGCAGTGTGTTTGTTGTTGGACGTAGCTTTATCTTCATCACATGAAACAGTCAAAAAAAAAAAAAATTTAACAATCATTCACACAAATGTCCATATCAGCTTAAGAAATAAAGAGTTGAACTGAAATCTATTCCAGCATACACGCTAGAATGTCTTAATGCCTTTTGTTGAAGGATGTTTCTTTTTTTAATTTGTTAAAGGTTTTGTTATCGTTACGAGTTTCTTTTTTTTTTTTTTTCCAACATCTTGACTTTTCACCCATGCCTATTTGTTTTAGAAGTTCAGTTTTTGTTGAATTAAATTAAGATTAGTTTTTTTAAACAATGCTGATCATTTTGTTTATTTTTTTGTGATTGATGTGACACTTTACTGTAACAGTTAAGTTTCTCTTCTGAACTGCTGTTTTGGTTTTTTTTTTTTTTTTAATGCATATTTGTCTGTTAGTTGGAATTAAGTGATTGATGTGACTGTTGTGACTGGGATTATTGGGATCGATCTGGGTAACAGGGTTTCCATCTCTTGAATGGATGGGATGATTTTACATTATGCAAAAAGCTTGAATTAAATTAGCAACTGTACAGCAATTAAAATGCTTATTACATTAACGTTGTTTGCATTGCCCTCTATTTACAACACGTCACGTCATTGGATGTACATACTAACAGCAGATCAGATTATACTCTGGTTTAATTGTTCTCAATGAGGCAAACGAACCATTTTTAAAAATAATTTATTGGTTTTTTTATGTACAGGGGAAAAAAATGAAGTAGAAAACCAAACATGAGTAGAAAAGGCAAATGTACAAGAGAGTATCTTTACACTGCATTGAGGATGTGTGCTGCTCCTGCCCCAGAAATAAAACTCTACTCTGAGTCAGGAAACAGGCAATACTTTTAAACTGTACACAGGAGGGAGGGAGCGCCGTCCACGTCTGAGTGAACGTGACACCCGAGTACCACGAGACACACCTGACCGACCGCTCCTTGCCTGCAGAGAAGGAAACCATAAAATATCTGCTATATTCATTTCCGTAGGAAATTGTCTCATATGCTGTCAGCATTAGTTTGAGCATTGATGGTTATGTTTCCAATGAGAGGGATGGGTCATATGTGTGTGTGTGTGTGTTTGTGTTTGTGTGTGTGTGCGCACGCGAGTGTGAGGTTTTGTTCCCTCTGCATAATGACTCAAGCGCTCAATCGAAGCAACCGCTTAAAACAGAAGGCCTCTGGACGTAAAAGTCTTTGGTTCATCAAGTTACCATTTTCAAGTCAAGTAAAGCTTACAGCAGAGCAGCGTAGTGTAGCTGTAGGCTTGTTCAGAGTGGAGACAGGCCCACTGGAACGAGGGTGCAGCGGGATTTACATTGAGTGACAACAGTACATCAGCGACAGCAGCACTGTGCCGCAAAGTCATTTTTGCCCTTTTGTGAATAGAGAAGAGTGTTCTGACAATACAGGCAAGTCATAAAACAGATACCATTTAAGAATCTAAATTTCAACAGATACCACACCCAGCTCGTCTTGTACACACTGACAAGAGAGCAAAGAATTATCTATAAAATATGATTTGGTCTATCGTGAAAAGTAAAAAGCAAACAGATGGGGAAAAAAAAAAAAAAACAGAAAAGAAGCAGTGAACATAAAAAATAAAGCTGAGTAACATTTCAATACATTGCACAACATAATACTGACATATCTGTGAATAAACCTTTTAGTGCTTATGGAAGAGAGCCAATACACAACTTTTTGATTAACTAAAAAGGGGAAAAAGTTTGTTATCAGTCTTAAAAACAAACCAAGCACATCTCCAGGTATCAATTCAGCAATGATCATTCAGCTATAATGCCAATAAATAATAGTAATAATGAGACTAGTACAATAAAAATCAATTCCATGTGATGAAAGTCACCAAACATGTCAACACATTATCGATACGATGTGGTAGAGGCATTCAGAACTCCATACAGATGCACACGAATGCATGCAGTGAAATCGGTAATCATTGTCTCAAGCGGTTCAGGGATGTGATATGCATGTTGGACTGGACGAAATGTTAAGTCCTTATCAGATGGTGAAGGTTAAATTACACAACAGCTCTTCCATTACACAACCACAGCCAAGGCAACAGTGACATCAGTTTCATCCTCTTTTGTCGGACTGATACTGACGTGTCACGGATTAACACTGACAGGGGAATCAAACGGTGCTCTTGCAACAAGGGACAGGTACAAAAATCTACAGAGTGGGATGGCTTAAATAACACAATATTCATGATCTGCCTCGACAGGAAACATATTTTTGAAACTCTCAGACCGACTGAAATCCAAGTGAGTGTTTTAAAAGCTGGATAACGCATCGTATGATTTGGTTTTTATAGCATGGGTTTTTAACCCCCCCTCCCCCCTCCCCCCGCCCACCTCACCTCACCTCACCTCACTTCACCTCATGAACACTGATCTGCTTTGCTTGTTGTCAAAACCTGGACCACAAGGTGAAGAGCAGTCAGCTGATTCTGGCTCAGACTCCCCCCACCCCCACCCCCCTCAAGACACTTTTTTTGGGCCTGGACTGCAGCAAGGTCGGGGTGTTGGTGCATGAAGAATACATGAACAGAGGTACTGATCAGTGGTAAGAAACTAGTCTCCACTTGCAAAGGTGGATTCTTCTTCTCAGGGGACCACTTTTTTTTTTTTTTTTTTTTTTTTTTTTTTTTTTAAATCTTAAGGTCATCACTTTGCGAGAATTACACAGAATTCATACCATGAGCTATTTGTGTTTGTTTTGTTTTTTTTGTTTTTTAACAGGGAGACTCAAGAGGGACAAGGTGTAAGTGATAGAAAAATAATGTTATTTTGTACACTGTTACATTATTGAAAAAGGTATCACAAAATATTTTTAAAATCATATGAGGTATGAAAGTATGAAACACCTCTTGTGCACACAAACAGAACTGCACAATTAACCACACGCTCAGACACACTTCAGTGCATCTTGTAAATGGTGCATGACTAGAGCTTTGTTCTACATTATGCTTCGCAATGTAGCATGATACTGTGATCGAATACACTCAGGTTTATTTATTTTTTTGTCTTTGAACTGATTCTTGCACTGTTTGTATTAACCAAAGGAAAGAATGGAGCTTTTTGTTTGGAGAGTAGGGGGGAGGACGAAAAAAAAAAAAAAAACTCTCCAATTGCGAAAGAAAAAAATAAAAACACAAAATATCTGTTTTTTTGGAAAAGAAAAGCATGGTGCCTTCCTGTGCTGGTCTACAGCTTCCAAACACCACATCAATCTGACACAGGGGAGCTTTTTTCTATCAGAGCATTTTGGTAAGGTGAGACCTGTTCGACTGAACCCTGTTTCTGGTTGTGCTGTGATGTCTTTGTGCCAGTTGGGCTGTCTGTCGCTCTCTTGGTAGCTCAGTATCCACAGGGGCTCTAGTCAACACAAAGGGCAAATCTTAAGAGTGGATAATACTGACTGAAAGAACCTGCAGGAGAGGTACATAATGTGCACGCACGCACGCACACACACACACACACACACACACACACAGACACACACACGTACGCACGCACGCACACACACACACAGACACACGCGCACACTCAAAAATAAAGTCTAATTCCAGTCAGCCACTGCTGTCGCTGCTGTCCCTCCTCTCTTTAAAGTTCACAGGTTAGAGTCCAGAGGAGGCCCCTGGGTTCAGGACAAGGTGCAGTCGTAGTTTCCCTCCTCCTCTCCCTGCTCCTCTGTCTGCTCCGGAGGACAGTCCTCAGAGGGCGGACGAGAAAACCCTCCCGCAGGTTCGAGGGAGGGTAGGGCCAGGCCCAGAGGAGCCGCTACTCCTCTGCTGTCCTCGGGTCGGGGCACAGCAGCGCCTCCCAGCCCCTCGGCGCCGCCCAGTTTGGAGCTCTGGCTGGTGGGCTGGAAGGCTTCGGGCTGCACCTGCTCGGGCGAAGAGTCCAACAGCTGCTGCAGCTGCGGCTGGATCAGGTTGAGAAAAGGTTTGTATCCCAGGCTGGAAAAAGATGAGCGAGAGAGGTGGAGAGAAAAAAAAGGATTAACATGACATGACTGTATACAAACATTATTCACCATCAAATTTACGCAATGAAAGCATTCACAATATTAGCATGCCACTGACACGTCTGACACAGCAGCCTGAACTGGTACGATAAAATGAATCACATTAAAAAAAAGGGATTAACACAACTGAAAGAGATAAAAACAGGAGCAACAAATACACATCTGGACACTTTATACCAACCAGTCAGTGGAGGCCCATGTGTCGACAGCCAATAAGCCGTTTCGGACACTCTGCACAGTTTCTTGGGGAACCTCTGGGCTGTCCAGGAAGCCGATCACCTGCTTGATCACGTTTGCATCCCGCAAGATCAGACCAATCACTACGCACCACTCCAGACAGCCGGCCTCCATGAACACATGGAGCAGGTACCTGAAGGACGCAGAGAGGAGCGACCATCGAACTACTGGTTCTGGTTTCATGTTAAATGAAATGAAAAAACGAAAACAAAGACGACAGTGGACTCACCTGAGCTGCACCTGCGACTTGTGCGGGCCCTTGTTGGCCAGCTCCATGGAGATGTGCTCCAGCTCGGCCTGGCTCAGGCTCAGAGTGGAGGAGTTCTCATCCACCATCGTCCAGTCACCGTCCACCACTGAGCTGGTCTCAGTCAGGTCTGTGGCCGAACCGATGCTGTACTCCTCCACTAGAGGGACGAGAAGTGAAAGAAAATGTTAAAAAAAAAAAAGAAAAAAAAAAACAAAACTTTGTGACCAATTCTGTGATTAAAATAACAGACGACGACATCGACAAGTCGATGAGAGCCGAAGGCAGGTCGGAAATGCGACTGAACCTTTCGCAGACAAAAGGAGAGGACAGGGTTTACCTCCTCAGGTCTTGTTACCTTTGTTGGTGAGCAGTGACAGGAAGGCGTCATGTGTCTGTGGTGAGTGCTGGTTGGAGTGAGCGGACGAGGCCGTGTCCATGTCTTTGGGCCTTTGCCCAAGCCTGTCCAGCCAGTTGTGGTTGGTGGGGGCTGCCTGAGGCGGCACTGTGTCCATGTCGCTGTTCAACAGGCTGTCAGCTGACTGTGACTTCAACAGCCGAGTGCTCAGCACTTAAAGCAAAAAAAAAAAAGCAGTATGAAATATTGGCATTAAGTTAAAAGTGTTTTGTTTTTTTCAATTTTAAGGATTTTGAAGCTTTTTAAAGCTTTCAGTAGTTTCCTAGAGAACTCCTACATTATCTGGATCCCGTCACTGACCTGTGCGACACCGTCCGTTCTTCAGAGGCGAGCTGAGGCTTCCCGCAGGATTAACAGGGAACGGCCAGAGAAAATCCTTATGGAGTCTCTTCAACGCCGACACAAAATCGTCAACATGAGCCACGCGGTTTCGTTCTCGACACAACCAGCCGATGAGTTCGAAGCCCAGCTGTGCCGAGAAGCATCCCAGGTCGCGAAGGCGCACCTGCTCCAGGAGGTGACGGGCGTGGCGCCAGAGCATCATATCAATGTACATGTTCTCCGCGCACTCCACGTCACGACTGTCGGGGAATCGAAGGAGAGAGAAGGAGAGACAGAGAAAAGAAAATGTGGATTGTGAATATTGTGAGCAAAACAGAAAAGTAGTCACTCGCAATCTTCATTATGCATTGTGTGTGTGTGTGTGTGTGTGTGTGTGTGTGTGTATGTGTGTGTGTCCATACCCTTTAGCAGAGGGTCCAGCAGGCATACTGAAGGTCTTCTGCAGGTTGAACTTTCCTGTGGTGATGGAGTCTGCCGACTGAGACAAACTAATGCTGCGATTTCTGAAGAACTCAAACCCTCCAGTTGAGCTGGGTTCCTGATACAGAGATACACATCATTAGTTTCAATTTCATCAGGTCTATAGTAAAACGTTTGTGGACACACAAACATGATGTGTCAAGTACAGCTTCCTACTCCCAGCAAAGTAGGTCTGCAGCCGCTCGTGCTGCGTTTCCATGACTCATGTGTTTGTGCTGAATTGTTATTAAATGTCAAAACACTTCTTGTGTTCTTACAGCGGGAGGTTTCACTACAAATGGATTACAAGTTAAGCACTGAAGACAAGACGGCAAATGAGGCAAATGTTTTGAAAACACACTTTAACACTGGTACATAATGCAGAAAGGGCTCCTTTAGACAATGTGGACATATGAAGACGTGTAAATAGGTTTTTCAGATTGAAAGTGGACATGAGCTAAGATGAAACTCTGAACATTTTGTAAAAATTCCAATCATGAGTGATTTCTATAGCCAGGGTCAAAGAAAAGAAAAAAAATCTTGAGATGATTTGAAGTTGCTCACCTGAGTTGTGGGTGTTGGGGGTGGAGTCTCCATCTCTCCTGAGCCAATGGCTTTGAGGAATCGGATCATGTGTCGGCAGAGGTCCCACTTGCCCTGTTCCAACGCTGTGTTGAAGAGCAGGGTGGCGTGCTGTCTGCTCACTGCTGGAACCTCCATGTTCTTTACAGGGCGGGAACAGAGGAAGAGACAGAGGACGGAGGAGAAGGTGAGCAGATTTAGTCAGGTACACACAGTGATTGTAGTTGTGGTGGGGCTGTGAACGAGACTTCATTTTATGGCAAAGCTTTCATGTTTCTGTCCTAGGCTGAAAATGTTCGATGATCTCTGCATCATGTTGTGAAAAACTGCCAGTTAAAGTCAGTACCTGCAGTATAATCAGGTAAGAGGCTGCTGTGTCCAGGTCTTGAGCCATGAGACACTCCTCAAACAGATCTTTGGGGTTTCCCACAGCTGCAAACAGGTAGTTCCACAGGGCATACTCCGTCTTCCTGGCGCAGTGGACGATGGTCTGAAGAAAGAGGGGGAACTCTGTGATGAACTTGGCCACAGTGGGAAGCAGAGGGTCGGGGATGGGCTCCCGCGATGTTGCCTCTTCTTCCAGAACCACATGCACCATCAGCTCCATGACGTGGGGGAAGTAGGGGAGGGAGGCACATGACTGAGCCAGCATCAAAGCCTGTGGGAGAAGGGGAACATTAAGGAGTGGGAAGAATGTGCAGACTGTGTATGAATTGTGCATTTGTGTTGATTTTCTGGTATCCCCGGCGCTCCTTTAATAAGCTGACATGATGAGACAGGAGGCTCCACATACCTGTTCACCCAGGTTACGAACCAGCAGCTGCCTCAGGATGTGGTGGAGGTAGATCTGGGAGGTCCTCTCTACTGTGCAGTAGGGGAACAACGCCTCCAGCGGCTCTGAGGATCCCTGCAGCCCGTCATAGAGCACAGTCTCGTTGGTCGCCCCCAGTACCAGGGCATCCTCGAACAGCACGGCCAGAGGGTAGATGTTGATGTGGAAGGGCAGCATGATGCGTCTGGAGAGGAAGGAGTGGGGCTTGCGGTGGTCTCGGGGGAACAGCGGCAGCCACACTTTCATGCCGGCTTCACCGCATGACAGCCACAGGGCCTCCAGCAGGTGGCGCTTCTTCCTGTTGGAGCGACAGGTGGTCCACACATTCTCCACACACTGGGCCAACACTACAGGAGGACAAAATGGTAGCTGGGGGAGAGAGAAAAACTGTTACAGGGAATCCTTAATTTAACAAACATTGTTAAATCCAGTGCTGAGCCAAAAACGTGTGAACAATATGTTGAGATGAGCCCCATGACACACAGCTGCTACAGAATACTAAAGTTTTGACATGCAATTTCTGAATCCAGGTGAATACAGTTGAAAGGTTAAAATTCATTAATTCCAACTCACCAGCTTCTTGTTATTAGCGGGTGTCTCCTTTTCTCGTACCTGTGGTCCTGAACGGTCCCTCTGTAGCATGATCAACTGGCCAGCCAGATTCAACATGATGCTTTCTGCCATGCAGGCCTGAAATGGACACGCACATAAAACACGAATCACCGTGCTACCTATTTAGAATGTGCGTGTGTGTGTGTGTGTGTGTGTGTCAGTGTTCCCTTGTTACCTGCTGCGGGGCTTTCAAGGTGATGCCAGTCTCTGTGCGCACGGACGTGAGTGTGACAGAGACCACGAGGGCCGGGTGAGGGATGTAGCGAGACATCGACACTTCCTGCAGCAACTCCACGCTGGCTGACGGGTTTGGACTGGAATGTGGAAGTAAACACACTGTGAGTCAGAATCGTGACTTAAAGGTAAAAACACTTAAAACATGAGGAAGACTATTAGAGGACTGTTTTAACTATAAGGTGTAAATCTTTAAGTTTGAGAGGTGAAAGCATCAGAAAGCACAGAACAAGACAGATGTAGCAAACTGAAACATTTTATTCCGGTTGGTTTCCTGATAAAATTAAATCAATGTACCTCACTGGAAAGCCATTGAAATAAAATGAAGGGTGACTAAAATATTGAACACAAATATTTTAATTAAATTACAGTTTAGACAACGTTGTGAAGTTCTGAGACTGGCCAGACGAACTATGTCAGATGTAAAGCTGAGGCCCAGTTCTGTCATGTGATAGATTTTAGGTCAGTAGCTTTAACTAAAAGCCTCTTTTCCCAAGGGAAAATGCAGCTCAGTAACACTATTACCTAACACTATTTTGACTGCTGGTGCCAGGGATTTCCCTGGTGTTGGGAGTGTGTGAAAGAAAGAAACTATGCTGAATGTGCAGAACGCTATCCGGTTTAGAAACAATACAGTCAGCTCTGAACAGCACTAGCATTTGTTTTGAGTACTCAGAGTCTGGGATCTTAGAAGTGAAGACACACTTTGAAAATCTCCCACTGCTGTGGATAAACGTATAGGTTGTAAAAGCAAATGGTCACATCATCCCTAATGTTACAATTTATGAAAAAGACAGACAAATAAAATTTTTAAAAAAGAATAAATAAATTGACAGGAAACAAACAAATAGGATTGTCCTTGGCAGCGTAATGTGTATAGAAAAGCGCCCACCTGTCGTTCCTCCTCTCAATGCTATAGAGGCAGATGGAGCAGTCAGCTCTAAACAGGATGACCATGTCTCTGAAGACGTTGAGCAGCAGAGTGTCTGAGTGCAGCTTAGTGACCGAGGCAAAGGCGTTGTCCAGGTTGGATGAGCGTTGATACAGCCTCAACTAGTGTCAAGAGAGGGACCACAGAGAGAGAGAGAGACGTCGCAATGAGACTAACGCAACTAAAATCATGTGACGATGGAGGCGTGAGTGGTGCTTCGGTCTCACCTGCTCTTGCTGGTCTATAAAATTGTAGCAGGCGACCACCACAAAGTCGTTCCACCAAGCCAGACCTCCCGTCACCGTCATGTTCTGCTCCTACACACAAATGCAAACACACATTATTATTCACCTGGACACAAAAAACACACAACTGGAAATATTTTTCAAATATAACGGGTCTTTATCTTTATCATATGACTAATATTTTGCCAGCCTATAAAAATGTCACTATGAATTCTAGCCTGGGATAGAGAAGCTAGCTGTGCAGGCTACATAATGGCATGTATTATACTAGGACGCACATAGACATGAAAAGTTCTATCTGGCAGAGTTTTTGTAAGGTAATTGGAGATAATTCATTCAGGACAAAATAAAAATCAGTATTATCCTGAAGTTAACACTTCCCAGTCAACAGTTGTTCATTGGTAATTACACTAATGCCGTTCAGAGAGGGTCATATTTTGATTCTTGTCCTCCAGTTTACGGCATCACATACCTGAGTGATATTTCCAAACAGCTTCCATTTCCTTGTGTATAAGGAGTAGTGTGCAAAGCCCCGCCTCCCTGCTACAGCCATGCACTGGCCTGCTGTGTCTATGGCTGCAAACTGTACACACACACACACACACACACACACACACACACACACACACACACACACACGTCCACAATGCAGACAATATTGTAATTTCATTCAATTGTTAACACGAACTACAAATACACACAGAAAACTAAACACAGGGTTCACAGTTAATATTCACCATCAGTATCCTGCCATACTCTCATCTTTTTCTCTAGCTCACATGCCTTGTAGCACAATAATTCTGCTTATGTACACACACTTGTGATGGCAGCATAATTAGTCAATTTTGAAAACATTATTGCTGCTGTAAATGTTGCAGGTTTTACAGTCTGAGTACACATGTGGCCTGGGTGAAACGATAACTGTAATTAATGTTTGTTTTAACCCGTTTGTGTTACCAGATGTCATGTTTCACACACAATTTAACACACATTTCTGTGACTAACAACTTCCCTGATACTTCACTTGGTGCACCGGGTAGCCAAATCACAAACACACACACACACACACACACACACACACACACACACACACACACACACCCACACACACACACACACACACACACACACACACACACACACACACACACACACACACACACACACAAACTTACCCGTATAGGCCAGTTGCTCTCTAGGTATGTGCTGTGAATCTGGAGGAAAACAAAAAGAAAGAGTTCGACAAAGTGTAAATAAAGCCTCTGTTGGTGATTTTATAATGGTGGCCTGAGGCTTCAATTCTGTGGTAGCCTGCTTGTGCCATACTGGTGGCATTTTAAACATCTGAATCCCAAGAAGTAATTCAATAATCTCATCAAGGCAGCAATCAGCTCTTAATTTGTTTTCACCATTGCATAAATCCCACCTAACCAGGTGTGATAACTGCGCTTCCTCACCTGGACCACGTGCCAGTGCTTGTGTCCCAGTAAAGTGCTGAGTCCCTGAGAGAGAGCGGAGTCGGGGTTGGGGGGGTGATGCAGCGGGCTGCCGTCACATGGGTGTAAGTGTGTGTGCGGGTGTGAGTCAGAGGTGCTGTGGACCTGCGTGGGGTCACCACAGGTCAGGTAGAGGCGATCTTCACCATGGAGTAACACCTGCTCCTGGTTACTCTGTACAGCCGAGAGAGCAACAAACAGAGCATGAAAGTTTAGTGTGTGTGTGTGTGTGTATGTGTGTGAGTGTGAGTGTGTACAAAATCGATATTATGTTTTGATCATTCCTCTCACCGTGCAGGGGTTGACTGTGAGGGCACTCTTGATAAAGTGGAACTGCAGTATGCCGGCCTGCAGGGAGGAATGAGGGGGTTCAACCATCTCCACCTCCTCCTGCTCTTCCTGCCTCCTCCTCTCTTGCTTGTTAGGGAGCACCCATAGGTGGTAACCCTCTGCTCCCCAGCTCTGGAAAGGGCAGAGTGCAAGTTTCAGTATGAACAATGGTGAAAGAAAACACATTGTACATGTAATGGACAAACTTTTTTTCCCATTAAAATAACGAAAAATAACCCCAAAACATACCAATATGCAGGAAAATAATATTAATATGCAAAACATGCAATGACAAAAAAACTCATTACTGTAATTGGACAAGATGGAATTAATTAATGGTGCTCAGGCTGTGTTACTTCTGTTCCATTTCAATGAACAGATATTTGCTTGTAAATAACAGGGTTGAGTGGGAAATGAATTTTAGCCATAAAACATAACCACTACCCTACCACCTGTTTTAACTCGGGTTTACTGTCATTATTTTTATATCATTTCAATTCGTTTGATGATCTTTGAGGCCTTGAATGTCTTCAATATGCTCGACGAATCAAAAGTTTTATTCAAATTTTTTACATCAAGACACAGACAGTGGGACAGTATTAAAGCTCCACTAACCATGGAGCTGATTTTAATGGGGTCCTTTTTGGTACCATCAGAACGATACCTGAGGGGAGGACACAAAAATACAAAAAGAATTTTAAAACATGAAACAAGAAATAAAGGTTAATATGAAATTGCATTAAACACACTGTATAAATGTGTGTGTGTGTGTGTGTGTGTGTGTCCACCCACGCAAAATCCTCTCCCAGAGTGCAGATGAGGTGAGCTCCAAAGACACTCCACAGCGATAGGCCACCGCACTCCCATGTAACCATGGCAACGCTGTAGTCAGGTGACCAACAGATGAGCTTGACTGGACCCGTCTTGTTATAGATGTCTGAACAGGTAAAGAAATCAGAGAAGACAGGAGAGTTCAGAACACTTTGGTTATTGCTGCATTGTTAAAAATACGAATTGAATGCTTTTGCCAAGGTTGTATTTGAGGCATTGAATCAATTGATATTTTGCTCTTCTTTGTGACGGTTTAGCTTCAATCGTGAAACGCTCCTCTCCTCTCACACACATTGCAGTTAGTGTCCAAGAATTTAAGCAGTGAAGGAGAGCACTGTGTGTACTATCTCTCTGTGTATGAGACTATGCCGGTGCCCCTATCTAAGTGATAATATCGTCACTGTATAGACAGTGGAGAGACCAGGGTTTCTGCAAGGTTCATGTTACATTTAAAGCTTTTAAAGAGCTTGGATTTAATACCTGTTTCACAGTCATACTGGCTAAAATATGAAATGTACAATGTAAACCCAGTGGAAACGATGCATCTTAGAATGATTTATTATGTTTTTTATTGTATTTTTTTATATCAAATAGTTTTTAATACTTCCCAGCAATATATAACCATAATTCCTAATGATATAACCATTGCATGGATGGATGGAATAACCAATTAAAAAATAATTAATTCAATCCACTTACTGAATGAACTCTGAAATAAAAAGTGGATTGTGCTCACACAAGGCTGTTCAATCCTTTGTTGAAACAATCCCACTTTTAGTTTGTAAAGCTAAAATTGCAGATAAATATGGGATACAAATACATTTGATGACTAGCATTACTGGAAAAAACACTCTTAAGTCTTGAGGTTTTGAGGAAACTTAATGAAAGTGCTTTTTGAAGATTCCTTGGAAACAAATAGATTCAGTGATGGTCAAATCTACAACCACTAGGTGGAGCTATGGCTTTAAATCCCATTATGGAAGTCTGGCTAAAACAGATGTGAACTAAGATGTATACCCAAGAGGGAGACAGCTGAAGGAATGCAAGTTATCTCAAAGAGGAATTTGTGTAGGGGTGAGACAGACGAAGAGAGGAGGGAGACAAAAAGGGTGAAAGACAGAGATACATATGGGTGATACCTGGATAGTGTTTTGGTGTGAGCTCCAGTTTGTGGGAGAGCTGCATGGATCCTGTTGTGGTGTCTATCATATAGACCAGCACTGAGCCACTGCAATGAGAACAAACACACTTTAACAGCTACAGTGCAAGTGACCGGTGGCTGTAATTTGACACAACACCTCTGAGCTACACTTCTGTGCTGGGAACTACTCCCAGCACTTGACTGCACACTCATTTGGACACGCATGCATGCACATACCCCTAAACCAACAACACAAGCTCTAGGTATTTATTTGTACTGTGTGTGACTGCAGAGGCTTAAATATACTTTCTTCAGCTGCTGCCTACTGATATGTTAGTTAAACTCATTCACTAAGCTCATTTAGTGGCAGAAATCACAGCAAAGAGTAACCAGCACTTTCATTTGGAAGTTTAATTTCAAAGGTGTACGGATAATAATGTTCAAAAGTCTCAAGTTCAAAACTGTAGCACAGAGTGCGCATGTTGTTTCAATAAGGAACAAAACAAAACAAAAAAAAAAAAAAAAAAGATGAAGAGGAAGAGCGTGGAGCAGCGAGGAAGAGAGATTCCTGCCAAGCTGGCAGATTGCACAATCCATGAGGAGTTTCTCACAAGCACACACTAGGTAGCCTCTGCAAACACAAACTGACAGATTCTCACAGTGGACACACACCACACGGACAACAATCAATCTCTGTAACACACTTATGCAAACAAACACACCCCAATGTTTACTTCCCAACACTGTATTGTAAAGATACAGACAGACAGTTGCACAGAAACGTACCTGGCGCAGCCAAAAGCCATCAGTCTGTACTTGTTGTTGACAGCCACACAGGTGCCATCAGTGACGTCTGCGGCCCAGACGCCCTGCAGCTGCTGGACACACACACACACACACACACACACACACACACACACACACACACACACACACACACACACACACACACACACACACACACACATTATTAGCACACTGCTTGATTGCAATTTCAACTTAACATTGATATCTGGACACATTCATATCTTAATGATGACCTCAACACCCACTTTCCAGTTTCAAGAACATAATTTCGAGCCAAGATTTTAGAACAACTTGTTAATGCTGAGAAAAAAAAACCCTACAGATTCAGCCATCACTGCTTAAATCAAGCCAAGATAAAGTAACAGCTCCAGGCCCTGTACTGAATCATAGTCTCACGACATAAATAAAAAATATTGTGCAGCCTTATTTATAAAATATGAGAAACTGTTGACTTGCACAAGTTGCATCACCACATAAAGTTTTTTTTTTTCCTCTAGAAATGGTCCTGTCTCTTTTCTTCGGGAACACTGAGGTAACTGGTGCTGTTGTCATTAAATCAAACTTTACTGAGACCAGAGAGGGCATCTGTACCCTGAGATACCCTGAAACGTGGCTATGTAGCAGGTTCTATTACCTACACAAAAGCCCAGCACAACATTCAATTTCTTTGCAGAAACAAAAAGCTTGGTTATCATTAGAAAACAGAACATTTGTTATTCTATCAGGGATTTGCTTGATTAAAAAAGGTCTCTGGGGTTTTTGTGGGGTCATAATGTCATATGCTCATTTGCATAGTAACATAAGCCAAGGCTTTTATCAGCTTTTCAATGCAAAAATGATCATACATTTTTTCATATTCTGGGTTCGCTCCCTGCGTTTACCCTTTAGGAAACTGTGTGTGCATGTTTAACAACAGTGGGTGAGAGTCCTTACGTCTGCAGTGATGGTGTTGCTGAGCGGTGTGATGAAGCCCAGACGTCCGTCACTCAGAACCACAGCGAATCCATCCAGGGTCACACAATACTCCATACAACGGATATACACTCCCTCCAGGTCCAGAGAGGGACCACCTACACACACACACACACACACACACACACACACACACACACACACACGCACAAACAGAAGTTTGAAGTATTCAATACAACAAAGAGGCTGAATCAGGAACTGCAGTTAATGACGGGCTTTTGGAATGACAAAGTTGTTCATCTTATATTGAAATCTTCATCATTTATTTCCTAACAATAGTAAGTGGTTTGCAGTCAACTAGAATCAGTTCTGGTGTCTTCTCCTGTGTTTAGCTGCGTGCACGTGTCTAACCTCGAGCAGACTGCAGGTCTAGTGAGAAGGGGATTGTAGTGAGGCAGATAGCCTTGCGTCCATTGCTGCCTATCCCATCCCAGTGCAGCACATGGAGGTAGCCGTCTGCCGTACACACCAGTAAGTCCTCCTGGAGGGACTGCAGACTGGTGGGAAGAAGAAGAAACACACAAATGCGCATTTTGATTCAAAAGAAGAAAAAAATAAAGCGGAATAAGTAGGAAAAGAAATTTTAAAAACAACAGGGGCGGTATGTAGGAAGGGTGTGAACAAGATAACAAACAGAAGAGTGTTAGAAAACAGTGGACTAGTCATCATCCAGCTGTGCCCTCTGAGTGAAGCCTGAAGGTTTTACTGGTCAGATGTGATGAGGCCACATAGCTGACAGTGCCAAGTCTTACTGTCTTCTAACACACAACAGAACAAACTGTGTCTGTGTGTGTGTGTGTGTGTGTGTGTGTGTGTGTGTGTGTGTGTGTGTATAGCGCTTCATTGTCTTCCAAAAAGTGTGAGAGGCCAAGGACTGATGATGACACAATGGGACAACCGAGAGAAGAAAAGCAGACGTCAGAAAGGAGAGACACACAGAGAGACAAAGAGTGTAAAGCACGGTGGAGGAGGCAATGACTTTTTACGGCAGTTTCACAGCAGGGGACACCCACTCATCTCCTGCAACCGTCAAGCTGTGCCTGTGAAATACTGACAGAGCGCTCTCCTTCAGCTGACTACCCTATAATCTACCCTAGTGCAGACGGATGAGGAGATGTGACGGATGAACACAGGGGCATGAAGGACGCACACAATACAACCACGAGATGAACAAAAAGAAAGTTGAGCAGAAAGCTGGTGGCGTGACAGTTCTTGTCATTCAGCAAACAAAGACGTCAAGTTACACGATGTGGGGGAGAAAACAGGGAAAGTGAAAAACAAGAGGAAAGAAACTAAATAGGAACTGAAACTAGCAAAGACTGAAACCACCATAAAGCACAAAAACAAGAAAACAGCAGACACTGGCTCTTATCTAATAGATTTTAGATAAATGTTGTTCCTTGGCTTTAGTTATTTCTTCTCATCAATTGTATTATAATTTGAGAACTATGCCATTTAAACAACAGCAAGCTTCTATGGTAACAATGAACGAGGGATCTCCTGGTGTTTTTTTTCACAGTGTGCATTTAGCTTATTATAGGCCTTTATGGAATTTGGATGATTTGCTAAGAAAAACTTGCGATGCTGTGAAAGCGGTGTGAGACCTTTGTGATTTAACAGGGTGCAGAAAGGTGTTTTTTTGACAAAAGCACAATGTGTTACAACGGCCAAAAGACTGGAAATAGATCTGCCTTTCTACTGCATCGGTGATACTGACTTCAACATTATGAAACGCTTTAATCAGGATGATAGCAATGTTGCAGATCGACTTGCGAGCAAACGTAGTCAGGTTATGTCATAACTAAATTATGTTTAATGAGCTTGGCGGCTTATGGGTCTCATTAAACTGATGACCTAGACTGACGTACAGTGATGAAAATTTTGTTCTAAAGCCTAAAAATTTGTTCAAAAATTGTTCGAGGTTGATTTGAATCCTTGATGCTCCAGATTCACGTACATTCCTCTGCAGGACTCTTTCTCAGGACTGTTTACGACTAACAGAGTAGAGAAGCATATCTTCTCACTGCACCTCAGCCATCTCTAACTGCCAATGCTGACTTCCCATGAGACAAAGAAGAGAATTTTTCAAGCCATTACTCTGAGCCAAACGCCCTCCACAGAGACACGAAGTGCAGGTCACGAGTAGAAGCTACAACAATGGTGGAATTTCTTTAAATACCCACTGGGGAGCAGAACAAAAACAATGTAAATGCAGTTCAAATCCCGAGGTCAGTGTAGGCTACAGGCTTTAAATCTACAGCACAAAATGTATTAGGATAACACGTATATTTTGTTTTGACTTGTGTAGCTTTCAGAGCCTTTAATGGAAGACTTTCTATTAAAGAGAGAAACATCGTGTATATGAAAATGTAAACAAAACAATAACATTCTCTTGAATTACAGTACACAGTGAGCATTACTTTTGCTGGTTTCAGTATGTGTGCACGTGAACTTGATGACACATGCAAGATCAACAGTGAGGGTGAGGTGGAGGCAGACGCAACAGGAAGAAACACACTGAACCAGAGAGAGACAAAGGACAATAGTAGAGCATTTACCTGGTGATGGGGGCCTCCAGATCCACAGGCTTCTTCATCTCTAAAGACAGAGCGGGGGCACATTGCTCCTCCTTATAACCTGGGGTCACCTTCACACGAGGACTTCCCCTGTGCAAACACATTAATACAGATACATATATTAGTTTTACTGACGTGTGAAGAGAAGTGCCGAACACCCAAAATGCAACTCATAGGGCTGAAAAAAGCTTGCTTGATATGCCCAGACTTGTCCAAACTTTGCTGGTATGCTGTCTAGGAATGTGAGAGGCACACATCCACACACACACACACACACACACACACTGCAGACACAAAGGCATACAGGCACACGACATTGGATGCTTGAATGATACAAAGGAACTGAACACAGCAAAGCCTGCAGAGAGGCTATTTTTTAATGGTTTGGATACCCTTTGTTTTAAGGGAGAACTTCATGCTGCAGTGTGAAAGGGAATTTTAGACAACAGCATGCTTCCTAATTTGTTCAGCCATACACAAAGCGAGGTCCATAAATAACATGGCCTGCACAGAGCCCTGACCTCAACCCCATAAACACGTTTGGGATGGACTGCAGCGCCAACAGGGCTCAACCTCAATACACTTAATCCCTGCAGCCAGGCTCCAATCCACATATGGGTGTAGTCTTGGGGTGGTCCACATAGGTCACATTAATAATGCTGTGATAACTGCTGCAGCAATTAGCCTCTAAAATTTCACTACCTGCTTTCATCAACCAACCTCAGCAAACTCACACGCTACCTGAGAGGATTTAGTAGTAAAGCGCTCTTGTATTACTTCTGGCATTGTTTTCCAGCTGCGCTGACGGACAGCTGCCAGCTGATGAGACTACTCTGGCTTCCCACTCTGGGTGTAATGAGGAACTTGACACTTTCTTCAAAGTGCAAAAAAAAAATACCCAAAGGGTAAAAAAGAAAAAAAAAAAAGTAGCTGGAGCTAAATGTTTGTCAAAATTCATTCCTGTGTTTGTTTATAACGGCAAAGTTATTATGATTTCTCATTAGCAGTAATAAGAGTAGCAAGAAATTAGGATATCTGCCGATTCAACTGATTGATGTAAACAACAAATAAATAAAGAGTGTTGCTCAGTAGCTGTGTTTTGTACATGCAACATTCAACCAACATAACATTACAGGTAGCATAACATTCATAATAACGATGGTTTAATGGCTCTTTTAGGGACACGTGATTTTATGATGGTGTGGCGTCCCTGAAAGCTACAGCTTGGCCCCTTTCACTCGGCTCATTTTACATAAGCATGTGTGCATGAATGTGTGTGTCAGTCTGTGTGTGTGCGGCACTCACTTTGGATAGACAGGCTCATAGAGGTACTTGTCATCCCCTCCACCCAGCACATCAAACAGGAGGATGTAGCCTTTGGCAGTCTGAAAAAAAGAGAGAAAAGACGTGTCACTAAAAGAACAGATCAGTTTATTTGCTCTCCAACTATTCTATTATCGCACAGGGAGATGGAAAGAGAAGTATAAGACACTGAGAAACTGTGAAAATGAATAGGTATTAGACTGGGAATTTAAAAGTAAAATTAAATTATATCACTTAAATGTCATCACAAACTTGCAAATGCTTTCACTTCCTTTTCAGGCAGCCAAGGAGAGAAATAATGACGGGACTGGAGGGAAGGAAAGGGGTTTATCAGTAAATATAAACATCATCTGCAGAGTAGAGAGGGAGACTGAAAAACAGCACTGTTAAAAGAATCATGTGAACATGTTATACAGTAAGCTATCTGCACATATATGACCAACACAACCCCAGATACATATGTAGATGTAGGTCTAAACTGCTGCTACTGTTTCTTTACTTAGTGATAGGCGTTTGATTAAAGCTTTGGGTCTAAAACAACAGTCACTGCTCCCCTGTAACTGGTTGATATTTGCTGGACTCAGTTTTGGCTGCTTCATATCGATGAGGCAGTGCGTCCTTGTTAAAACAGGACCTTTGATCATGCTGGTTATCTCAAGAAAACAAAATCCCACACATGTACTATTCAATGTAAAGTTGCCTGATTTGGCAAAGTCCATCTGAATCCCATGACAAACATTTTTTGTAACATTATTTTTACTAGCCAAAGCTCATCAGCAAGGAGTCTTGATCAGTATTTTAGGGTATTTCATGCTCAGTTTGTTTTCTATGTCTCCTATGTATTAACCTATAAAGGATAATATTTGCAACACAACCACTGTCACAGACAAAACATTTGTATTCACAGGGAATGTTGCTTGACATTTTCCTGCACTGCATGGGCCTGAACAGGCTGAGCTGCCTATTCATTAATTCTGAAGACTGAATTTACTTAGGCTAAAAAACTGCATTTAAATAAGTCTATTTAGCCTGTTATTATGTACTGCATCAACCCCTTGACTATATATATGCAGGTACACACTGCTGCTTTTACTGATAATGATGCTCAAAAACAAATTTGTCAGCATCTAAAAAAAGCTGAAACACACACGCTCCAGGCTCCATTCTGTGGAGACGCTCACACTATCTATAATGTCAAAATAATAGTTAAGTACAATATTTGCATGCTGATATTGCAGGAGGACTTTTTCCACAAGTACACACACACACGGTGCTGTCAGGGAAACTGCTGAAATTGAGCCTGTAGACTGAAACATGACACGAAACCTGATCTGGACTCAGACTCCAATGTCAGCAATAATGTCCCATGGTTTTGCAACGGCTGTGCATGAAAACACTTCTGTCATGTAACAGAACCACCTAGAACCAGAGTGAGTTCGACACACAAACCATGATTCGACCATTGACAATGTTTTATTCAGCTGCGCTTCACTGTATGCCGTTGTTTTGCTCATATTTTGTGGCAGCGCACTGAAGTAACCCTTGACTTTTCTAGTGCGGTGACAGCGCTGCTGGTAGCAGGCCAACACATCACCACAGCAATGAGAGAACCCAAGTCAGGGAGAGGATAAAGCCAGCAGCAACATGAAGCTTGACTAGAAAAGAGCAACCGCAGCCAGAGACGAGAGAGGGAGCCAAGACTGAGGCCTGCTAAATCCATCAGCGGCCTTGGAGCTCCACAAAGCTGCTGATGCACACGAAGACAAAAACTGCTAAACAACACTCGAACAGGCATAAAATCTACTTCAGAAAGACAAGAATTTGTCAGCGACTGAAGAAGTTTGTTCTATTGTTTTTTTTTTAAAATTTACACAGAGATCATTTATTGGGATAATTTGAATACTGATAATGGTAATAACACAACAATAAAGTTAACTGGTGTTGTGGTCATTCCCATGAATCATGTAATAGTTGCGGCACAGTATTCGAAGCTTTGTCTCCGACACAGAAATTTTATGCAAACATTACAGTTCACATATTTGTTGAGGCAGACAGCGATGACAGGGTCAACATACAAGTCAAACATCAGCCACACGGGCCCAGATGTGGCGCAGTGACGCGTTAAATTAACTTCCCGTCGTATGAAGTTTCTATGCTTCACAAACAAAAAGATTTCCGTGTTATTGCTTAACTACTCAACACGATGACAGTGATAAACTGCACACTTGTAGATAAAACCACCACTTTCAAAAGACAATATTTACTTAAAGTGAAAAACACTCTGCAAACATGTAATGCATCCTTGACACAAACCTCAACCTCCTCTCAAGAGAGACCTACAAGTTGTTCGCAGAGATGTACGCATTCATGATTTAATACACCCTGTGTGATACATACCTCACATCAGCTACAGGCATTACACTTCTCTATGTAAACACTGATACTTTGATTCAGTCCTTTGGTTGACATTTAAGATAACGCAGGAAACACTGGATTGGTAACATACTGAAAAATACAGGACTGTTGCTTATCAAGTGATAACGTACTAAACGACCATGTGTTAAGTGGTTTGGTCTGAGGAATAATTATATCATAAACAAGGTGCTACTGATTACAAGCTGTACTTGATTTCCCATGCATCAGTGTCTATAAAGAGTCTGATTTGTTGGGTAAGTGAATCAAAGTGAGATTAGTGGACTGGAGAGGTCACTGTTACACTGTTTGTTGAAATAAGCCATTGTGCATTGAGGTAACAGCGATACGACAACCACCTCATTCTCATGTTCGCACTATATATAGTTAATATGATCACAGTAGGACACATTCTCATTACAATGACCTAGTTAGATATTACAGCCCAATATGCTCATGCAGTCCACATATAAACAATAACAAGCACTCAAGGAGTGCAGACCTCCATCAAGGCAGAGCATTTCTCTGGATTTGTTATTTCAACAACAAGAAAAGTTTAGAGTATGTAAACTGCAGCTGTTTCCAGAGCTGCACCAAAACAGACAGAAAAGTCAATGGGACATTTATAGACACACAAAAACTCTCACACATGAATACATATTTTTTTCCATGGCTTGACTGCCAACCATCATCACTGGGGGGAGGGGGGGGTGGGGGATGGGGGGGCGGCAGAAATCAAGCCGTAAAAGAAACCGCATATAGGCCAGCAGAAACTCTGTATCTAGCATATAACCAGTTAAAAGTTGGGAGGAAAATTCACTTCATAACTCTGAAGTCCTTTCAATGTGAAGTCTTCAATCCCAGGAGCCCCCCCGCTGAGCTGAGCCCATACACTCACACATCCCAACAAGGCTTCCCTCCCAGAGGAGGGGCCGTGTGGGCTCAGAAAGGAAATGTGAGTGTGACTAGCAAGCTACTGTACTTCAAAAGCATGTCAATTACAGGAGGCAGGGAATCTCAGTGGAGTATCAAAGATGGGAGGGGGAGGGGCGGGAAAACTATTTGGCAACCTAGGGAAAACTTCAGTGGTGTCTCCCACTCTCAACATCTCCTGCCTTTCATGTCTAGTTTGATCACACCACATACATGAAAGCATTTACACGCCCATTCATCTTTTCATGAGACTATGATTAGCTTTACTTTAACTCATCTTCTCAGATAAGTGTAAAACAGTGGATGAAAGAGAAGAGAGATAAAGAAAGAAGGCCACTGTCGAGACGCATCCTATATCTCCGGGACTCTTGGTGATCCTGGGACGTTCACACATGCAGAGATAATGACGCAAGAAGAGGCAGGACGGTTGTTCATTGTCAACTGAAGCCCAATAAAACACGCAGGCAGTGAGATTCAAAAGGGCCCAGCACTGAGGAAGTTGAAAAACTTTTCTCTTTCTGTCCTCTGACAAATGGGAACTGCAGCTCCTAAACCAGATGGTGGCACACTCAAGAGCCTTTCATGAGTCTGCAAAATAGGATGCATCCACAAATGCCAAGACCGGGCTCAGTTTCTACTGCAGATACAGAACCGCAATGCCAATCAGAGGCCCCGCTTTACAAAACATACAAACAAGAGGCTTATTCACTGATTTGTCAAGGGCCAGTAAACCATATGACGGGCCTCTCTCTCGCTTCCTCATACTGGCAACATCAGAAAACAACTACCTGACTGAACCCATATATTAAAATTATGTCATTTGTGGTAAACAAGCCAAGGTAACCTGATTCTTTAAATGTAATCAATAAACCTCGCTTTCCTACACCATGCTACTCACTTATAGCCTTGGTTAAGAAATAAGGTGGGGCAAGATGTCGCAGGGGAGATATTTGACTAGAGTCTTAGTGTATGTACATGTGGGTTTCAGATTACTGCAGTAGATGAAAATATATTTAATGATGTCCTGCTTTAACCTGGGTTCTCCTAATAACTTGTGGGCACTTATACATATCCAATAATTAGAATATGAGAGGCACATAATAGAGTGATACTGTAATTATAGGATTCAAGACAGGGCCTTAGCTCTTGTCACGTAACACTTCCTCCTCTTCAGTTTGCACTTTAACACTATTTAAACCAACTATCAGGATTTGATGCTGCATTTGACAGAGGGGAACATCAAAGGACCGACTTTATGCTGCTGTAAAACACAAACAAATAGAAATGAAGAGGAAAACGCTGACTGGTGGTAACTACTCTAGTTCGGGCTGGCAAGTAGAATGAAAGACTTTGAAAGTCTTTCAAAGTAGAGAAAGAGGCAAGTCATCAGAAAACTATACATAGTGTAATAGAGTACTGAAGCCTTCCTTCTGGCATGTTTAAACAAGCTCCAGACTTCCACACACAGGGGCATGTGGATTTATCTGCGGTGGTTCCCTGAAGCTGAGTGCACTTTTAAACAAAGTGTGATCGCTCACACTATTCACAGACGTTAGTGGAACCCAGTGGCTGTCATTGAAAAACATATTGGGCAGAAAAGCATGCAACATTCCTAACTGAACGAATATCCCATGTGTTTTTGCTGTGGGATAGTAGCTACCAGCATGGACTGCTAACAAGTATAAGTAAGCAAGCATGCAGTGGCAGAGCAAAGATG